CTTTGCAAAAGTTAGTAAAAACCGACAGAACAGTTATCTATAAAACAAAACAAAAAATTAATTTCTTAGAATTTTATATCAAAGAATTTTTATAATCATTTAATGCAATATGAGCTATTATGCTTAATCGCCTACTTTAACAATTTTACTTTAACTTCACTCAAAATGGATATCTAATAGGGAGTTTTTGATATTATTAGTTCTCAAAATCTCCATAAAAACAAACAAAAATGATACTTGACGAATATCTGAATTAAATCTTATATTAAGATGTTTACTTTTAAATTAATTTAATTATTCTTAGAAGAAACAGGATATTAATGTTCTATGTATATAAACAAATATTCATTTATTATCTGTATTCCAGGAACGTGCTACATCGGTAACACAAACTATTCTTCCCTCTCTGGTTTTTGTTCCATATTATTTAAGTAGAAAGAGACACAAAAGCTCAAAATAGCCCAAAGTCGCTTTTGGTGGCTATAATCGTGTACGCAATAAAATAATCAATAATCCACAATGAGCTTGGGTCATACAAATTTTTGGCTTGGGCTTGAATGTATTTCTTCTTTTCTTCGTTTTATATGGGCTCAATCTTTTCACTTTTCCACTGCACTTGATATTTGATTTCAATTATCTTTTCCAAATATTACACTGAATATTTTGTTTAATTTTGTATACTTTTTAAATTCGGATGGTCACTTTTATACTAGATATTTTGTGATTTTTATGGGATTTCTTGGCTCCCGATTCGGAGAACGCCATTTCAATATTGTCACGATGGTGTCCGAATCAGAAGCCCGGCTTGAATATAATGTTAAATCAAACGTCAAACTTCACTTCAATTGATTCTTCTTGTTAAATTTGAATTATGTAAACCGTGCAAGTTTCCGTCCGACTGAAAGACGTTTGTAAGACGTCTTAAAGACGTCTTTGAGCTTTCAGATTAATATATGGATTTGGCAAGACGTCTTTGAGACGTCTTAAGAACGTCTTTGAGCTCTCACAATAATACGTCTGAATTATGGCTTTTGCAAGACATCTTATAAGACGTCCTAGGACATTGAGACCAAACCAAGACACAAAAAAGACGTCTTTCAGACGTCGTGTGCTATCTGGGCGTATTTAGATAATTTACTAATTCAATTAAAACCTTTAAAACTTTACAGTGTTAACCTAGACGAAATTAAGACTATAAAAAACTCTTTGCAAATTCAAAGTGAAAATTTGAAAAATTACAATTAATAAATGTAGTTTATGGACAATAATATTATATATTTGCGTAGCTATTTTAACTGCAGTAGGTGTTTTCAAAATGTATAAAAAGAAATTTAATCAGCCTTCCCAAAGCGAAGAACCTCAGGAGGAGATACCACGAAATCTTTTCCTTACTTCAAGGATTTCTCACTAAGGATGGAGGAGTTATATTCCCAGAAATACATTGGTACATATGAGAAATGCCGTTCTGATTATTTTGCTTGATTTACATACCTTAATTGAGGAGCATTAGAGCAAAACCGAATAAATCCACTTTTTATGAAAATTAAGTTAGCGACAGATTTCAACTTACTTTGTTAAAATACATCTTTATAGACTACCTGTCCGAGCAAAACCGAATAAATATTTGTAAAATTAATTGTCGAAATTGATGTGTTTGTGCAAAACCGAATAAATCCACTAGTAAAGTGGTGTAAACAACACATCAGCATTCGCTGTAGTTTAAAAGCAGTTTGTAAGAGATATTTCTTTATTTTCATTTGTTTTTCCTCTTATATTAGTGAAGGGTAGTTTTGAATTTTGATTTGGGTAAAACTGAATAAATCATTTTTTTTGTCATATTTTTAACAAAAATTATTTTTCAAAATTATAATTGCAGAGGGTGTATTATTTATGATGCCTCCAATATTATTGTTTTCACCAAACAAACGAAAAACCAGTACTTTTTGTCTATTTGGAAAATCGTGTTTTCCCAAAAATCGTTTATAGTGGATTTATTCGGTTTTGCCCCAAAGCTCCTCAATTATAGAATGCGAGTGCAATTCTGCGAATTTGCATTTTTACATTAATATTTTTATTTTATTATAATTCAGTTCATATTAAGTTTTGTAGATGAATAGAGCTCAAAATTATTGTTTATTTTTCAAAAGACTTCCTAATCCTACATTCATTTAACTTTATTTATTTATTTATTTAATTAATTTCAAACAGGCATTTAGCCTAATTATATGAAATTTACAAAATTAAATAGTAAAAGTTTTATATATATTATCGACTGTACAAAGATAAATTAAGGAGAACAAGCAGGTACACATTTATGAGAACTGTTCTAATTAAAATTTTAAAACTCTATTTTTAAATTGCGTATGACCCAATGAAAAATCTAAGTCAGTTAAAACGTTGATTTCGTTTGCGGTTCTAAGCATAGAAGATATGGGAGAGCGTACAGGTTAACGTAGAGGAGGTTATTCTGAATAGCTGAGGAGATCTGATTCCACATCTTGGAACATTAAAATTAATTAAATTTAGAATATAGGGATCATAAATAACTCCATTAATTACTTTGTGTAAAAATGATAATAAATTTATATTTCTTCTCAAGGATAGATGATTAATTTTAAATAATTTTCTTAAATCGGTAGTTCTTGTTACTGTATAATCCGGCCAAATATTGTGTTTTTTGTAATAAAGATATCTTAAAAATTTATTTTGAATTTTTTCTATTCTAATTAGGTATACGGCTGGCTGTGATTGCCAAATAATAGAGGCATACTCCAAAATTGGTTGCACAATTGTGAACAAATAAAATTTTGATTGCATTTAAATTTGAAAAACATTGTGTATTTCTCATTACAAAGCCTAATGCCCTATTGCCCCTACTACAAACATCTTCAAAAGACAAAGTCGAATCATAGCTTACTCCTAAATCTTTTACTTCATAATTTCTTTTAAGACTTTCTGTTTGCATAATATAATCAAATAATATCAAATTTCTTTTATGAGTAAAGGTTATTACGTTACATCTTTTTGTGTTGAAAGGCAATTTATTAACTAAACTCCACTGTACTATTCTGTCTATGTCCCTTTGTAATCCAACACAGTCCCTAACTGTTAAAACTTCTTTGTATATTTTAAGATCATCAGCAAATAGTACACAAGCCGACTCTTTTAGAACATTTGGTAAATCATTAATAAAAAGCACAAAGAGAAGAGGACCGAGATTTGAGCCCTGAGGAACTCCGGAGTTCACATCACATAAATTAGAATTGTGGCCCATATATGTAACAAAGAATTTTCTATTTTGTAAATAGGTTTTAAATATTTTGTGATTTATCCCAAAATGGCTTAGCTTAAGCAATAGTAAGTCATGATCAACTTTGTCGAATGCCTTTGCAAAATCTGTGAAAATTACATCCAATTGGTTTCTGTTTTCAAACACTCTGTAAATTTCGTTTGTAAATTATAGTAGGTTCGTTTTAACCGATTTCTTGTTAATAAATCCATGTTGCCATATAGTTATGCTATTTTCTACATGGGAATAAAGTTGTTGATATATTATTTGCTCAAGTAATTTTGCTGGCGCTGACAAAATTGAAATACACCTATAATTTGAGATATTGGTATTATCTTCTGATTTGTAAATGAGGATACATTTTGCAGTTTTCCATTTTTCTGGAAATGTTTCCGATTTAATGGCTAAATTAAAAATATGCAGCAAAAGTATTTCCAACCCTCTGAGCAACCTTTCAATATGTAAGGAGGGAGCTCATCAACCTCGGTTGATTTTTTAGGTTTTAACTTTTTTATTGCATTCTTGTAATCTTTTTGAGTCACTGGATTTAAAATAAAAACATCTAAAGCGCTATTACTATCACTTATAATATCGTAATTACCTTTTATATTATTGAAAACGCTTTGAAAATAATTAGCAAAATTTTGTGCAGGTTGAGTACTTGATAAATTATAATTGTTATTAAGGTGAAATTGATCACTATTTGAATTATTTTTCTGCCTTTTCTTATTTATGTAAGACCAAAAACTATTTATATCAGTTGCTATGTTACTTTCTATTTTATTTATGTAATTTGCATGTTCGGTTTTGGTTAGTTTTTTAATTCTCTTTCTAATCTCTATGTATCTAGTTGCATATTCATTTGATACCATCTTTAGTTTTCTGAATTTCTCTTTTTCACCAAGCAATTGTTTTAGCTCCATCGTAAACCATGCAGGATAACTCCTTCTAGGTCTTTTATTTTTAAATTTGACAACACATATATCAAAAATATTATTTAATGTTTCATAAAAAAATTCTGTTGCCCTATTTACATCTTTTTGAGCTAAGACATTACCCCAGTTAGCTTCCCTCAGTTTTTCTACTAATAATTCAAAATTGGCTTTTTTAAAATTGAACTTGTTACTTAAATCCCTATTGTCACAGCATTTTTTACATACATCTTTATTGATCTCATGAACTTATGAGTAAAGTTAAATAAATAAGTATGGTTACCACTTGGTCTATGTAATCTATTCATTATATGTGTTACCTACGTGATATATTGATGTGAATTTATATTTACATAAAACATTTTTGATATATTCTTTGTAAAAGACTTTTCCAATACTAAGTAATAATGGTCTTACCGAAAAAAATAATTTTTAAATTATTTTTTATATAAATTGAACTAGGTATACTTTATGAACAACTATTCATCTGCCTAATTAAAAAATTAATTCGTGTCTGTATTAGTAATAACTAATTCTTACTGGCATTATTATAAGTTTCAAAATAGTTTCAGAAAAGGTTATGTACACGTCTTTAGAAATTCAAAACACTACCAATTAATATCCAATCACATATTAAGAATCTATAATTTCTAATTGATTAACTTTTACTTCATCACGATGAATATTTAAATGCAAATTACAAAATTTAAATGTCCATAATTTACAGTATATTCTAATATGTTTTCTGACATTCCATGGAAAGGAAAAATGAGCAAAAGTCAAGGTTTTCAACATTTTTTATTCAACAATTATTACATGTCACAACATGATTCAATTTATGGTCCGTTGGTATTTAAATAGGAGAGAAAAAGGTATTGGCAAGGTAAAATGAAGAAAAGAAATCGATTACAGCTATATACAAAGTCTTTGAAGTCCCAGTTCATTGAACTGGTATATTTTTCTAATCAAGAAGTTACTTTCTTACTTTCCAAACAAAAAAACACTAATATATAAATAAATTAATTATTTAACAGAGAAACCATCTCCCGTAGGATCCAATATCCAGGGATAGTTATTGGGACATTCCATGCAAGTGAAGAGTCTTAAAGTCTCTCCAGGTAACTCCCTGGTATGCAGAGGACAGGAGTTGGGCAAAGAGCAGTATGGCTGTCCCTTAATGTCACATTTCTCCTTCCATTCCTGGAAATCTCTCAATCCATTAATTTCTGTGGGGTTTTGAATCCATTGGATAACTTGCAAGTTGGTGACAAAGTAAACATCATTCCTAGCCAACATCTCTTCAATAAACTTGATCAATTCTTCTTTAAATTCCTTCTTACTCTTCAACCAGGAAGCGTGGAAGTTAAGCCCTAAAGGAGCCCTGTTGGTGTTGAAATGCCTGTTGAAATTGTGTCTCAATAGCCTGGCGAACTGATCTCCAGTCTGGATGTTAGAACAGGAGTCGACCATATGACAACCGGGCAAAGATTCATCAAAAGTAGGATCATCACGTCTGTCCAATTCGTTCATGACCATCTCCCAAACGGGATGGCTTCTACTGGGACAGTTATGCGCGTTTCCGTTACACTTGTGTGGCATTCTGAAGTATAAAGTGTATGGCCAGATCGGTACTCTACCCAACGAAGCTGTTATGGAAGAATCGTAAACGAAGAATTGGTCTGTCATCATTTCGAATTGTCTGTTACCACCAACTCTCAGGTACGGTGCTCGTACTCCAATAATCGAACCATCAGTGATGTTAGCGAATCTTTCTATAATCAGTCTGCCTCCGGCCATCTCTGCCAACCAATCATCGTAACTTCCTTGAGACCAGTAGTTGGGATCCTCTTTGTGCGTCAAGGAAAAGACAGCGATTTCGTGACCTCTTCTGTGCAAGTCTTGCACAGCGGAATAGTTGGTGTACTTGTGCGATACGAAGAACGAACCACGGATTTGGCATCCGTTGGGGTTGAGTCTGTTGCCTGAGAAGACTTCTTCGTACAGATCGATGTTGTCTACATTGACGGCACCGTTAAAGGAGATGGTGATCATTTGAGGTACATTGGCTGGTTCCAAACTGCCGGGAATTCTGGTACCGTCGGCTGAACAGAAACAATCCGGTAGGACGCACTGAGTTGGGTCGCAATCTGGTGCCCTGTTGGGGTCAGTTTCGACGTCTGAAACAAAAGAGCAGTTATTAATTTTACTCATGCGTAAAAAAACCTATTGCTAACATTCATATTGTAGTTTAGTTAATATAAGAAATGATAAATTACGTTACCAAGGTAACGATTTGTATATGTATCGCTCCAGTTAGAAACTTGTAAATGTTAGAAGATGATTTTCGAATAAAATGGATCCTGTTTGTAAAAAGCTAGTTCAGAATGGTCACAAAAACATGAATTTACATTCCACCAGATACTCTCCCTCAAGCGAACAATAATTCAGACCTGTCAAACAAACTAACATAATTTCTCAATAAATTTAAAAATATGTTTGCACAATTAATAAATCAAAATAGCATGATCTTAAGCATGGTCATAACCGTGATAAATAGAACATCCCAATGGCTAACTCACTAAGAATAGCCTAGTGGAACGCAAATGGTTTAACAAACCATGTGCAAGAAATCATACTATTTTTAAAACTAAACAAAATAGACATCCTACTCATCTCTGAGAGTTCATTAACAATAGCTTCAATCTACAGTTCACCACGCCACTCCATAAATCTTGAGGAATACAGAGAGCTCTTTGGACAACTTGGATCTCATTTCCTAGTAGCAGGTGACTGAAAAGCCAAACACACAACCTGGGGAGCAAGACTTATAATCCCAAAAGGCAGAACTCTACTAACAATAATTCAAGAAAACAACCAAAAATACTTATCAACAGGTACCACCACATACTGACCTACCGATAACAATAAAATTTCTGACTTACTAGACTTCGCCATAACTAAAGGTACATCTGAAATACACAGCAACATCACCCCCAGTTTCGATTTACACTCGGATCACAGTCCTATCATAATAACCTTAAGTACTAGTATAATTTGGAAAACACCTGCATCAAGGCTCTGCTCCAGAAACACAAATTGGAATCAGTTTCTTGATACAATCAATGAAAAAATATCTCTAGACATACGACTCAAAGACAAAAATGACATCAAAGAAGCTGTAAAATACCTATCAGAACAAATTCAAAGCACCGCTTGGGAAGCTACTCCTGTAAATGAAAAAATAATTGAAGAAAGATGCAGTATACCTTACCTCATTAGAACACTAGTAAAAGATAGAAGAAGAGCCCGTCGTAAATGGCAAACAACAAGAAATCCATTAGATAAAACAAATCTAAACAGACTCACACGCAGATTTCGCTGTGCTATCCAAACTGCCAAAAACGAATCGTTTGAAACAGATGTTACCAACCTATCTCTTGACGACCACTCCCTTTTGAAAGCCACAAAAAAATTCAAGAAACAAACAGTAGCCAAATCTCCAATTAAAAAAATCGACGGAACTTGGGCTCGGTCTGATCCAGAAAAATCCAATAGATTCGCAGAACACTTATCAACTGTTTTCTCCGCCCCACAACCTAACGATATCAATGACGATGAAATTAGAGCCTTCCTTAATGCCCCATGTCAGTTGTCACTACCTTTGAAATACTTCTCACCGAGTGAAGTCCGCAATGAAATCAGACTTCTCAACCCACACAAAGCTCCCGGATTTGACCTTATAACTGGCGAAATCTTGAAAAATCTCCCAAGATAAGGTATCGTCCTAATAAGTATCATTTTCAATAGCCTCCTTAGGATATGCTATTTTCCGGTGCAATGGAAGTACGCACAATTTATAATGATACCTAAACCTGGTAAATCTCCAACTAAAACTATTTCGTACCGACCAATAGGTCTCCTTCCGACTTTATCAATAGTCTTTGAAAGGCTTATTCTCAACAGAATAGAAACAACAATACCTCTAGAAAATCTGATCTCAGATCACCAGTTTGGAATTCGCTCAAGTCATTCAACCATACAACAGTGCCACAGGTTAGTCAACAGAATAAAAGAGAGCTTAGAAGAAAAACGAATCTGTATATCAGCATTTCTTGATATACAGCAATGCATTCGATAAAGTTTGGCATGAGGGTCTCCTCGTTAAAATCAAAACCCATCTACCCAACCAATCATACCTCCTCCTGACATCATTTGTCTGACAGATACTTCCAAGTTAAATATAAAGAAACATTATCCAACTACCATCAACTAAAATTCGGAGTACCTCAAGGCAGTGTACTCGGCCCGTTCTTGTACTTAATTTTTACTGCTGACATACCCATCAGTGATCATACATTAATGGCAACATTTGCGGATGACACTGCTACACTAGCATCAGACACAGATGAAACAAGAGCATTCAACAAACTGAAAAACCACTTCAACGAACTAGAAAATTGGCTTAGTCACTGGAAAATTAATTTTACAAATCGAAAAATTAGATGTCCACAACTATACTTAAATAATACGCCTAATCCAATAAATACAGAAGTAAAATACTTTGAACTTCATTTAGACGAAAAACTTACTAGAAAATAACATATTAAAGCTAAACGACGGCACCTCGACCTAAAAGTTGAAAATATGAGCTGGTTAATCAACAGAAGATCGAAACTTTTATTAGAAAACAAAATGGTCATCTATAAAGCAATACTCAAACCAGTCTGGACATACGGAATCAAGCTGTGGGTCTGCAGCAAACCATTTAACACTAAAATACTATAGACGTTCCAGTCCAAGACTATTCGAATGTTAGCTAACGCTCCATGGTACGTTTCCAACCAAACCCTTCATGCAGACCTCAACATTGCATTTATAGATGATGTGATTACCCACCACTCCAGAAAATATATGAATCGCAGTGAAAACCTTCCAAACCACCTCATAGTCGAACTCTTTACCCTTCATTCATCGATAGACGCTTAAAAAAACTTTAGTCAGAAGACCTAGCTGCTAGGTGAATTCCAGAGAGTCGTCGGTGGACGACACCTGCCTCAAGCCACCCACTTCCATCAAATTTACTTATTTGAAGTAGATTGTAAATTAGCATTAAATAAAATAATAAAAAAAAAACTCTTTAAACGAGGGATTTTTTTTAAAGATAGAATAACAATTCTAAGTTTCTATTTAAAGTTTTGTATCAAATTCACTTGGGACACCAAGGCTTGAATAAATGTAGAGAAAGACAAAAATGTCCGTCTGATGCGTGGAGCTATCAACACAATGAGTGTGTCTATCAGGAATTGTCCTAGATGCATTTGAGAAAGACTTCGATCTTTTTAAATGTAAAGTAGTTTGGTATTTACATATTATTATTATTAATTATTTTTTTTAGATTTTATTAGGATAGAAGCCACTACAGATATTATTAATGGACCTCAGATTCAAAATGAATTTAAACAATTTGAGTTAGAGCATAATTTTAGACATATAACTTCAAGTCTCTACTTTGCTCAATTAAATGATAAGGTAGAGATGGCTGTAAAAATTTTTAATTCTTTATTTATAAAAAAACATGAATATATTGAGACTGAGATGAATTCTTTCGGGTCATTACTAATCGGAACCTAATCTTCTTTGGGCCAGGATCAAGTAGTTTGGCAGATATAACTATGGAAATGTGTAGAATTTTTGTTAATATTATGGTGTTACTGGGATGACAGGTGGGATAAGTTTCATTAAGGAGAAGAAATAATATAAATATTATAGTTATCGTTTGTGTTATCTATATTTAATGATTAGGACTCTAGTATTTACTATCAAATTGAGTTCATCCATGAAATCGATGGCTCAATCAAATACTGCCACAACTAAAATAAGTAATAAGTAAGTCTCTATTATCATTATTTTGTTTTTAACATAAAATTTATTTAAAAGCTACGACATTTTGCTGTTAAAATTAACGATTACGATTATAAAAGCGCTGTAACTCGAGTTATTGCGTAGTTTGTAAAAAATTGATGTTTTTGCAGAAAATAACAGGAATTTATTTGAAATAAAGGTAGAACATGAGCAGCTTGTTACTATTATTACTAAACTGAATAAAATAGATGATCCTGAGATTGAGCAATAGAGAGAATAAGAGGTCTCCAATAAAAGATTTATTTGAGATTCAGGTAGATGAGTCAGTTTGAGCAACCAATTTAAATGTCCATGGTAAAGTAGCTAAACATTTAAGTGAGCCCAGATCTTACCTAATGCAAGCAGAAAGAAGTTTAATTCATAGAAATTAAACATTTTTAATGCAAGCATTATTTATGGAAGTTCTCCTTCAAGTTCGTTTTCACAAACTTTCTCACCTTCTATGGATAAACTTAGAATTTGCACTTGTTTTATTTTCTAATATGGATAAGTTTGCTTATACTAATAACATAACTATTGTTGAGCAAAACAAAGTACCTATGTATGGCATCAGGGGATGTAAAAGAGACAATAAGTGATAGTGAGGGAATGAAAGAAAATAATGACATGGTCGTTAATAACCTGGAAATGCGGTTGAACATGCTGATGGTAATTGTAGAAATATACACAATGTTAAAGTGTCTGATACCACATTTTTATGGCAATGGCCAGTACGGCACGTTCAAAAGCCTTCTGACTTGAAGGATTATGTTTAATTAAAAATTAGGAATTGGGGAGGGGAAATTTTGTATCTGTCATCTCTAAAATATGTCTGGTTAATAGTGTTAGGTTGGCCACACGGAATATTGACATTTGACTTAGTTAAGGCCAATAAAACGTTAAGTGGTTACTCCATCAACAATACAAGTTTATAAAGCCATATTTATGACTTGATAATGATTCAAATTGTATGACAAATCTTCGAGGTAAATCTTTGGAAAATCAGCCAGTTATGCTGCCAACGAAATCCATGTCATTATCAGCAATAGAGTCAATGTCAACAAATTTAATTGTTAAAAAAAAAGAATCACTTACCGCAAGCATTTTCATCAGATTCATCTTTGCATTCGGGTTTTCCATTACAGAAAAGCTCTTTATCTATACATTCTTCGTTACCGCACATGAGCTTTCCTTCGGGACATCTCGGTTCGTCTGTTTTGAAAATTGGTTTTATCTTTCTCGGTTCTAAAAAAATCGGTTACAAAATATCTGATGCTTTTCGTGCTGTAATTTTAACTGTTAATGTTTATCTGTACAGGTAGTGTTGATTGGCGTTTTTTTTGTACATTATATACATTGTTTTTACATTTAAATACATTGGAATGTGTGACAGAAAGTAGGCATATAATGTTCTTAACAGAAATTTAGAAATATAAAGAAAGATAGGTTAAGTTTGTTCTTCTAAGGTAATCGAATGTTTAAATGATAAAAGTTTTGTGGACGTGTAGGTTTTGGCTGTCAAACATTCTTCATTTTTGGCCTGACTATCCGGCCATACTGCAGATACATTTTTGTATTAAATTGACAATATTTTTGACTATTGATTACCTTTAGAAGAAATGCAAGAAATTTTATACAACACAAAAAGAAAAATCATGCGTTTTATCACAGTACAAGATGAAAATCTAAGAATAAATAAAATTAAAGAGTTTTTTTATAAAGACAAGGTGATAAATTAAATAGATGATGAAAATAAAAGTTAAAACACATAAAATGTGGAAACAGGAAACATTAGAGGCAAGTAAAATGAAACAATATTATCATGCCTACGAAAATGTAGATACAAATGAAATAATTGTACATAATGTTATTTCATGAGTTAGTCAACCAAAATTAATGAGAATGGTTTTTAATTTGATAATGAAAATTATTTAGGTACTTTAAATTATTATTAAATTTTTTAATTATTATGCTTAATTCTAAATAAAATATTTAAAAATCTGCAATCTCAAAAACGCCGATAAACTTTATGGAGTGATAAGGAACATCAAATCAATTTGTTTTTGTTTAAAAGTTAGAAAATCGAGTCGTGTGGCCAGAAAAAAAAAAGGAAAAATGGTTTTAGCCAGTTTTGTTTTCAGTGATAAATAAATAATATTAATTTGAAAAATGTTTAGAAGAACTAAATAAAATAAAGTTACAATAAATGTTTAAAATGTTAACCATTTGCTTCAATGCAAAAATTTCATCTTAGGTTCATTGTTTGTCTTTTATCTCCCCTTTAAAGTTTATCGGTATGTTTTTGGGACATCATGTATATATTTTTTTAATTGATTTTAATTTTTTTACCGAAAATATGTGAAATTTTGGAAATATCGAGATGTAGGTGTAGGATATATAAGATTTTATACATTAAGAAAAGTTTTTTATTAATTTTTTTGACTTTCTCATGAAATACAAGATTACCATATTCGAAATAATGTCCATTCCTATTTTTACGAAAACAAAAGTTATTTGTTTAAATATTTTCCAATTAATTTCAAATTTTCCTATACTATTATAATGTTCTATAATTTATGTCGCCAATAAATGGAATTACTCAAAAATATTTCTTCAAATGTCAATTTTAGGCTTTAAAAAACTAATAATTGTTTTTAAATATTTAATTAAATAATAGTACAGGGACATTTTGTCAAATTTTAGAAAGTGATCATATTAAATTTAGAAAAAGCAGTGTCTAGAATTAATTTTAGAAAATTATATTCAAAATTGAAGTGATTATCAGATTAAAAATTATCTGGGAACGTACATTATTTCGTTATCAGTAACAATTTATTTATACAAGGTAAGAAAAAGGTGCTGCTTATAGTGATGTTAATAAACTCAAGCAAACCAAATCATGTTAGTAGTTATGTAAATATATGTGCAATTTGTATTTGTGGACACGTTAAAAAAAAACAAGAAAAAAAAGCCTCGGTTAGCTAAATACGCAGTGTACAGTGAAGCAAGTGTCGCAGAATAGAATTGTTACATAAAAGCTGTTGAACTATTATAGCAACTACTTTCTTAAATATACAGGGTGTCTAATAAACAAGAAAACTGATTTTATATAGACAGGTACTGTATATTTGTGTAAATGAAATTTGAAAGTCGGTTGACCCAAACCATAGCTGAAATTTTGAAAATAGCACTACTGCTGTGTCTCTTTGAGTATTTCCAAATGATTTCTCAAAAGTAATGTTGATAGAAATAATACAGAAAGGCATGCTGTAAATATTTAAAGATGAAGGTTACTGTAAGTACTTTCAACTAAAAAGGCATTTTTCAATTAGACAAAGCAAGGCGTATAGAAGGAGAATTTACATCCGATATAGGTCAAAATGGTAGTAATATAAAAAGCAGTTTATGAAACATATTAAATAATATTAGTTTCGAGGAAACCAATTGGAAATCTCAACAAAATAGCACCCAAATAACTCAGCTTCCTTTTTAAACTTTTTCGCCATTTTTGTTTTTTAATTTTGCTTACTGTCAAGTTTATCGCAATTTGTGACCTTTCCCTTCCAATCACAAGTCTGTTTATCGATGTCAAACGCCAATCCACTGGGGCAAGTGATCTGTTTTAGACCGGATTTTGTACACCTGTACGTTATAAAAGGGTTTTTTTAATATTAGGGAAATTATTTAAGGATTACTGACCTTTATGACCAAGAAACATAGTAAATCATTACTTTGTGTAATCCAGAATTTAGAGGTTAGGAGGATAGAAGTATAAACCCCACCAAAACAATACCGGTAGCCTTTTCAAGGAAAAATGAAGCTAATATCAAAATCGTCAAATTAAACGGGATATAGAATAAAAAAAGGAAGTCCAATATCTAGACCTAATCCTAGACAACTTCTGTGGACATACATGAAAAGCAAGTAGTAAATAAGGCAACTAAAGCCCTAAAGGTATGCCAAAAAATGAAATAGATGGGGATGTAACCCTATCACACTGCGATGAAAGTAATACAGCTGTAGCTTCGAGTAATAGCTAGTTAGGTACTACGAAAGGTAAAGTCTCAAATGTACAAAGACTAGATAACCTCTGTTTGAATTACTGGTTTTATAAGAACCCGTCCTATGGCCGAAATGTAGAAAATAAATATCATACCTCTGCCATTGTAGAATAAGTGGCAAAAATAACACGATTAGAATGATCAGGAACGAATTAATCAGATAAATCTATTAGGTACATGAGAGAAGGTACTTGGAATATGTCTCATAAATAAATATCTAGACCTTCTCCTCGACAACAAACTTCTGTGAGACATACATGAAAAGAAAGTAGTAAATAAGGCCACTAAAGCCCTAAAGATATGCAAGAAAATGAAATAGATAGAGACGTAACCCTATCACTACTATGAATGTAATACAGAGATAGTGAAACAATGCATCACTTAGCTGTAGCTTCGAGTAACAGCTAGTTAGGTACTATGAAAGCTAATGTCTCAAATGTACAAAGACTAGATAACCTCTATTTGAATTACTGGTTCTATAAGAATCCGTCCTATGGCCGAAATGTAGAAAATAAACATCATACTCTGCCATTGTAGAATATGTGGCAAAAATAACAAGATTAAAATGTTCAGGAACGAAATAATCAGATAAATCTATTAGCTACATGACAGAAGGTACTTGAGATATGTTCTATTAAAAATGAGAAAGAAATAGCGTTTTGTGAATAACTTGAAAACCACAGGAAGCTTGGAAAAAGAATCAATCGTGTTAGTAACCGAAAAAAATGCAATTAAATGGTATACAGATAGTTCCAAAACCACAGAAAGAACTGGAGTAGAAGTATATAGGTTTAGAACCAAACACTAAAAGTTGGGGTATTGAGAAGGGTATCCAGTTCAACATCAACTAGGACTAGTAGAAGATAGTGTGTGCAGATTCTGTTAGAAGGACAAAACCTTCATTCATATTGTGTAGCTCTTCAGGATTTAAGGACACTACACTTTGAAGCCACCAAATAGGACAACGAGCTACCCTATTTAAATCCACTCTAAATTATCTATTTCCTTGGAAAGATATGATTGGAAGGGTCGTTATAGACATTGATATCACTCCCTTGCTGTATTACTTCATATATAATATAAGATGTTGGTTTTTTGTAGGTAAACTAAGTTTTGAACTTTAGTATAGATGCACTTGTATTATCTACCTTTAACTTTGGATACTTCTTGGATACTTGCTAGTTAGAACAGGTGTCTTACGATGAGGTAAGGATCTTCAAATACGTCGAACTAAAGGAAAGACTATTTGAAGATTATTTGAACGATATTGTGTTAATGACTCACATCAATTAGATGATTATACATAGACCGTTCTTCACTTTATGTAGCAAAGGATACATGGAGGTACTCTAAGGAAATACAAAATCTAGGAAAGCCCAATAAATGAAATTGGAATAAAGAAGAAGACACTAAAAAAAGGAGTGAATATACAAATCCAACTGTTCTTAGTTTTGAGAAAAAAATTACTTTAAAGGAGCAGGAAGATATGTAGCAGGTTCTCAAATACAATCTAAGTTAAAAATCTATATTGCATCTAGATGTCAAGCAACAGTAAACTAACCCCAGCCCATTAAGAAAGCATACTTCAGTATTTCATGCTGAGGTTTTTGCAATAGGAGAGCTACAGAAAACAAGCAGTTTGGATGCAAGGTCATTAAGAGATCGAGGGCTATGAAAAGGCTGACAATATTACAAAAAGAGGGTAGGAACCAGATATAAACCGTACAGTTATAAGTTTCATAGAAGACTGGATCTGGAGAAAACACAACTATTAGGAGAATGTCCAAAAACAAGCATACGGGTATTTTTCATAGGAACACTATGTTCAAATAGAACAGCAGAACTAATTTCTATGAATAGGAACCAGTTAAAAGCTATAGCTGGACTCGTGACTGTGAGAAAACCAGTAAAGAAATATCTGATAAAAATAGCCATGTGTAATGGAGATCTATTGTGCCTACTTTGCCACAAGGAACCAAAAAATAGTCAAACACATACTGTGTGACTGCGAAACATTGGATCGCAAAAAGGCACTTTTGGACAACCATAGGCTAATCCATGAACCTATAGAAGACACTTATTTAACGTTTTCTGTAATAGGGACAAAAGTGACAAAGTAGGTACTATGAATTAACAATATGGGGTTAAATACAATAAGCTGTTAGGCTACAGTGTTATCAAAGACTAAGTCAATTAAGCCTAGAAAAAAAAAACGTAAACTATTCTTGGTCCTTCACGGTCTTTGAAGGTGTTATATACAGTGCTGTCAAGATCAAATTTTTGGACGTTTTGTTTTTGTTATAGTGAAGAATATACAGTATTGGCCATTGAATACCTTCCAATACGGTATACTAGCGTCGAAGTGAAAAGTACAGAGATTTAGCATTAGTCAAACAAGGAAAATAATATAACAACGTTGCCAGTAAATGGCCGCCTGTTAGCAACATTGATATTATTCGTTTCCTTCTTGAACTAATCCGAAATCTGTAGCAAACCGTATTCTAAGGTTTTTCAATAGCCAATAGTGTATATTGTTCGGATATGCAAGATATAGTATTAAAATTACCAGTTGTATCCGTATAAATATCTACAACAATAGAAAAGTTTTTTTTGAAAGGGCGAAAAATTGTAGACCTTGGTTACGTTTTTAACAACAATTTAGTAATGTATATTTTCTGTATGGTCAATAAAAGTCACTAAACCTTCTGCATCGACTTACTTTCTACAATATCACAATTTTTGACATTGACTTTCCAGTCGCAAGTCTGTCTGTCAAGATCGAACGCAAGTCCAGTCGGACATTTTACGGCTGCCAATCGCGTACCACCCTTAATATCTGAATTGAAATCACACCTAAATTAATTAAAAAAATAATAAAAGGATTAATACAAAATTAGTAAAACATGTTAAAATTCAGGTACAATAATCAGGCTCTGATGATGGCAGTAGGCATCAGAGCTTAGAAGGTACCGTTGTAGTTAAAGGTACTAGTAGGTATAGCGATTTGTACTAAGATGACTATAGTGACTGATAATTTAAACAAGAAAGGTAAAATGAATATATAAAAACTAATAAAAAGAACGAATAGAATATTCAATTAATTAATAAACACAATGAAAGTATCTAACCAATTATTTATTATGTCAAAATTCTACAAGAAATTAATTCTTATTTTATTTGAAACTGTTGATTTTTCTTCACTTCAATGCAATGGTTCAATGTACTGTCATAACAAAAGCTTATGAAATACCCACCTTTTATTACAGACATAACTATGTTAAAAAATACAATTATTTATTGTGATTGTTTAATAATTTATTTTATTGTATATTCTGCGTGTTATTTCATCTGAAAACGTATTTTCTAATAGTTAAGATATTCAATTTAGAAACACGTGAAATTAGTCCTTCTTGTGCAATGAAATATTTATAAAACGTTGCGAAATTTCTATATTAAAAATGATTTTAGCTGATTTAATATCATGGCCAGATACTATCAGATATATAGAAATTAATGAGTTAGATCATAAAAATAGTATAGAAAACCAAAATATGATTATTGAAACCTCTTATAGACAAAAATTCTGAAATAATTAAAGAAAGTAGCTGTAATAAGAATGGTTTATCTAAAATTAATAGAAAAAGAGAATAATTGAATATTTGAACTTTCCAGCAAACATTTTTAACTGTCCCAGGAACATAAGTAGAAGTAAAAACAAGTAACATGTAACATGTAGCATGTAGTACCGTTTTAACTGACTTAGTTGGCTGATCCTCACTTTCATTTAAAGTTTCTTGACTTTTAATTTAGTATTTACTTCCAAGTAAGATGCTAATTCTCAGGTATCTACAACGATGTCATTGAAATATCTATTTGATTCATATCATCCTGTTAAAGAGGAATACAGTTAGTCCAAACTCTTGCAAGCGTAAGTAGTGCAACTACAGGCATGGGCGACGTTAAAAAAATTCTAGGGGCGCAAGTCTTATAAGCAGAGTCTAAACGCCACAAGCTATAGTCGAAAGCCATAGGGAAAACTCCAAAATTGCAAATCCAGGGGGTGCACACGTCCTCCTTTTCTCTCGTGTGGCGGCGCCCATGCGTACAAGGCTTCTACCATAACAAATTGTATATAACCTCAAACTTTAAACGACTTGCGTTCATATGATGGCTGATCTTTTACAATAAAAAAAATGGGAGAATTGGTATCATTGTATAAGTTGACATATGACGTACTTCTTGTTAACGTTGCTATGTGACATGACAGCTAGCATTCTACGATGCAGCAAAATGTTAAGGGAATAGAACACATACTTTGATTACTATACAGTGCAAGAGGTCCGACACGCCCAACATAGGGCGCGGCCATTTTGATTCCTATGCCACAGTTTATAGCTAAAGAATCAGATCGCTCAATCTGTTTCGGCACATTTGATCTCAATGTTCCAGTTTATACACTGCGCAACTCGGATAATACAATATATGACAACCACCTACAATAAAACGGCAGTCTTCTGCGTATCCTGAATTTGTATCCCTGGAGTGAATGTTATTTTGGAACTTTTAACTGGTCCGAGTGAGCTAACTGATTCTTTAGCAATAAACTGTGACTCCAAAAATAATATTCACTGACACTGACAGCAGCAAGCAAAATATCAGGTGCGTTTTAATCATCCGCTTCTGCTTCCGGAATTGTCGGTTCAGTCGTTTTAACCTGTCAGATTAAAACAAGAAAACCGACAATTCCGAAGCAGAAGCGGATTATTAAAACGCACCTATTAAAAATATTGCGCCAAAATGTTGGCAACACGTAATGAGGAATCAAAATGGCGAAGTTTTCTATCTCCTTTTAAAAGGCACTCAGAAAGCTGCGCAGTGCGACCATTCTCCGTATAGTAAAAGAAAATCAAAGTATGTGGAATAGAATCACTGGCGACAAGCGAATGGTTCGTTGGGGAATTGGGAACATGGGGGAATTAGTACCACTAGTTGAGTTGACAAATGACGTACTTGACAGTTATCATGATAGACATCGGCCAAAAGGACTCTAATGCCAAACTTTGTCAAAGTCGTACAGGGTAAACGATGATCAATATGAAAAGTCATATAGGTGTTATAAATGACAAAAAGATGCACAGTAGCATTGTAAAAAGGGCATTTACCTCTGGCTTCGTTAGTATTCATCGGTTTTTGACGAAGTTTTAAAGGGTTATGTCACTTGACATATGTAATGAGGGGCAAGTTCGAGATGATGCCCTCTGGAGTGGGTAGGGCATGAGCAGAGTCCTGTCAAGTCAGAGAGTGAATGTAGTAACATCTCGAACGCGCTTTATCACTCAGAGTAAAAATCATAACCTCAATCCAGTATATCAGTCAACGGTCAGTTAATTATTATGCATTACAATAGAATAACAAAATAAACTCTCAGAATTTACTTATAATAATCTATATGAGTTAAATAATTTTAAAATACAAATATTACCTAGCACAAACCCACAGAACAATAATATGTCCGTTCATTGACATTATTGACATTTCATTCTTTAACTTCCCGACTTCTAACACAGAATTAAAAGAGTGCACTCGGAGTCCATACTCAGAGTCATATCGAACGCGACCGATCACACTCCGAATCTCTAAAAAAATGCGAAAATGAACTCAGAGCAACCTGAGTTTCTACTCGAACTCACGGGAGATACCACATGCTAATAATGATCTGTCATTTAAACGACATTTTAAAATCGACGAATAGGAAAGATGTGCGATACTTTAAATGAAACGATTGAACGTGAGGATCACGTATTATATTATCTTTGAAAAGAACCCTTTGGAACATCGCAAAATCGCTGAAAAAATGTTTAAAATATAAAAATCGAAAACAAATGCTTATTCCAAATCAATAAAAACATTTAAACCCAAAAGTAAGCATGCGAGGAAATATAATAAATACAATAAGAAATTTAAAGTTTAAAGTGTTGGGATAATAGTATCGATATTACCACTTGTATGCCCATAAATGCGAATATTTCGTTAATATTCATTACACACTTTAATACAAGAAACCAAAAAACATGTTTCAGTATTTTCCGATGTCAAAAAGACCTAATAAAAAAACTATAGTTATTTGTTTATATCTTTTAAATTGATTAAGTTACCAATCTGGGATAAAAAGAATAAAATGCAACAGCTCTTGCTTCGACATCATAGTACGCTTGGTTTTTCTGTAACTAATGCCCTTCTAATGTCTAATTACGTTATTATTAGTTGGATTTTAACTAAATTTGAAAGGGTAATGTCACGCTATATACTAAAATAATGTCACAAGCAGAGCATTTTTGGCATTTTTTGAATCGTGTCACTGATTCTCGTGAAGTGTAACATTATGAGAAGGACAAATGATACGTCAAAAAAACCGGTAGAACGTGAGGATATAACGTATATAATGCTAGATTCAACAACAGTCTTTTGGAACCACGAGAAAGCATTAAAAATAGGCTTAAATTGCATGTTAACCAAAAAAGAAAACTGTTAAATACATTTCTTTCAACAGTGTATTTGTGTATACGCTTTACTGCACCAAGTCGGAGATCATCACATTCCTACCTGTTGCGTTAATGTATTGTCAGCAAAAATGTAAACAATATGTTCTTTTACTTCAATCCTAGACATGTTCAAGGTTAAGGTATAACAATAAACATTGATAAAATAAAAGTCACATAGACGAACATTTTACTTTAAAATATCAAGTCAGCTAATATGTAAATGATTCTTTGTCTATATTTAGGATCAGCTTAGTCTACATCTGATAAAGGATGATGTGTCAAATTTTTGCGCTATGTTGCTATTTTACTGATAAAAAAAACGCAATTTATCCCATTACATTTATTATCCGATGTATGGTATTTGCACGCGTATCGACTCATACAATAACACCTCTTGTCCCATTTTGTTATCATAGAAGGTCAGCTATCTGTTATGTCACCTGTTGTCATTTGTAGCAGATATCTTCGTTCACGTGAAAGATTTAGGTTATGTACAAATTTTTATGATAGAAGCCCTGTAGGTGCCTTACTAGCATACGAAATATTGAAATTCTTAGTTTGCAGAATATATATTACATTTACTTTACTTAATATTGTTGAAATATGATTTAGTATCATTACTTTTATGTGAACACAGCCTTAGTTATTTTAGTTATATTTAGTTTTTGTTGATTGGTACTACTATACGTCAGAATATTGACTGATGTCAAAATACGTCTTTCCGGTTACTAGTTGTAAGACAATGGCCGTTGTTGGTTGTTGTATTTATTGTAAACCATACATAGTTTAAATAATGAAAATCAAAGGCTAACTGTAGTATTATTTAAATAATAATGTATATAAATTAACAAATATTAATACCACAAGCATACTATACAGATGCATCAACTGGGCTACAAAGGTTTAACGTTAATAAACTGAATACTGAATGTACTAAGTTCACACCTAAACATAGAGCTATTCTTTAGACTAAAACAAGTTGCATCATACTCTGAATTAAAAAAACAAATAAAAGGGTCAATTTTATATGAATAATTCCTGAGATATTAAACAATACACTAAGTTGTTATTCCAAACAGTTACCGTTATACGCAGTCATTCCTAGTTTTTGGAAATTAGTTTTCTATACTATATTTCTATGATGTCTCATTTTCTATTTGCAAATTTATCAATTAATATAATTATAAAAATGTTAGAACCCCTTAAAAGTATAAGTTTCTTACCTAACTACTTCTCTGCAGTCTCCTTCTGTACTAAGTCTAAAATATTCATCACCCGGTCTATTTTCACAGAGTTCATCGATTTGTGGTTCATTGTCACCATCATCGTCTTCTTGGGCATACACTAGATAAAAAAAAAGAATACGATTAATAAAAAAACAAAAATATATCACAAAAACAACTAAAATTTGGTCAATGTCGGTCAATATTTAACGGTATTCCTCAGAGTTCTGTGTAAGATCCACTTTGATGAGGATATTAATCCAATAGATAACAAAATGTCACACGATGTTTGGTTTTAATGCAAATTTATTTAATGGAAATCATTTTCAAAAGTTTTGATTTATATTATTTATTTTAGTTACTAAATATTTGATTATTATATTGACTAAAATACCGTATATAAAAGTAGCGTGAAACGATTTGTGTTGAATGCATTTTTAATTTAATTTACCACAAAACAATAATGCGAAAATCAATAATTTCTAAGGAACCGTTACAAGCAGTGCAAAAATATGCTATCTCCTATACTAGTCGTCGAAAAAAAACTTTCTTTCACTTATACAGCGCTAATTAGCAATCATAAAAACGAACGAAAGAGATATAGATATTGGATGTAAATAAAGAAATCTGGGTCAAAACGAAAGTAAGTCCCAAACAGGTTTCTCAGTTTAGGTAGACGTTCTGTTGACTGTTGATATTGTTTATATAAGCTAATTTTATCTTTGGCGGAGGAATGTCGGAGTTTCCAGTTTTCTTGAGACAAATACGTAAAATTTCAAAAAACAGATCAACAATTAATGTACGTACATAAGTAATACTATATAAATGTAGAAATTATTATTAATAAACTTTAGTAAAGAAGATTATGTGCTACTACCTCATTTTTAATCGACTACAATAAAAGGAGGGAGTTCTCAATTCGTCGGAATAATTTTTTGTTATGTCTATCCAGCGATAATTCTTTACCACTTTGTCAAATTTCCATGTTTCTTTTTTTTGTTAGAAATAAGGTACCTCAGGAGTGGTTCCATAAGTTTCAAGAGATACTTACTGAAGAAGAGACAACATATGAAAGACACCGACATCTTGCGGCTAATAGTATCACTGAAAAAGGGAATGATACTCTACTGGTGGAACAACGAAATTAATGATACGATAAAAAGTGTATAGCTTTAAAGAAAAGGATTACCAGATCATATAAGATAAATATTCCAGACGTAGATGCACTCGAAAGCAGCTTCAAAAAACAAAAAAGAAGCTTTGAAAAAAGCCATCAAACTAAATGACCATCTTGGCAAATGGATACAGAATGACCATAAAACAACTAAACCTGAAAGCCAGCTACAAAGTACAGGACAACAAAAAGTAATTATAACTCCAGATTTCGAACCAATCACAAGCTAGAGTAAAGGTCAAACTGGAAAGGCCATCAGGACCAGACATTATAAGCATATCCTCTTAACGGCAATATCCACGATATCAGGCTTACAACAAAATACTCTACAGATATGGGTTTTCGACGCCGCTAAAGCAAGAAAGACTGATCTGGAAGAAAGAGAAGCCACTCGATGAGGTATCCTCATACAGCCTCATACAGGCTAATATACTTCTTAGACTGCGTAGGTAAACTATACGAGAAACTATTTAAAACATGACTGCAAGAACAGCTAGAAAAAAGGGAAAGGGAAGTTGGTGATCACGGCAACATAATGGGCGAAAGAAAAGGTCAAAAATAGCAAAAAGAGGTGGATCGCGGCCATTGAGATCAACATCTTCCGGGACACAGAAGTGTGAAGGGCAATAAAAAAACCGGCGCTCTTGCTAAAAGAGGAACCGAATCTGTGTTCATAGGACCAGAACTATTCCTGGGCATTGCAAAGATCACTACCAAAGGAATTATCTCAAAATGAACGGAGGATGCAACACTCACGAACTGGAGAAATACCTTAGGGCTAGCTCATTCAAAGGCGTTTATCCCAACCCTTATATCAACGCCTCTGCTCAGATCCGAGAATGGAGTGGGAAAGATCTACCCATTTTCACGCGACTGATGCAGGACACTGCTGTCTGAACAACCACATGAGAAGGTCTGCAACAAACATTGGACTGTTAATTCTGCAGCGTGGAAGATGAATCTGCAGAGTACATTTTATGTACCCGCTTCGCTCTGAAAAGAACCAAATTCCAGATCTTCGGATTTGCCCGACTGGAGCCTACCGACTTTCAACAAGTCTTACCCAATTCAATCAAGACCTTCATCAAAAGGTGTGGCTTGTACGGTAAACTATAAGTTAGTTATAAGCCACAATAGACCCATCTGGGTCGCAGTGGAAGGTTATGAGATCATCCCTCTCATTTTCAACCTAACCTTATATATGGCAGCATACTGGGCGAAAAAAAGAGGTCAAAAATAGCAAAGAGAGGTAGATCGCAGCCATTGAGATCAACATATTTAATTCGGCCAAATGAGGACATATTATTAACATTGGGATGCCATTGAGATCAACATATTTAATTCGGCCAAATGAGGACATATTATTAACATTAGGATATCAATATACTTATACAACACCATCAAAAACTATCTAACATATAGAACGGTCATAGTAACGAAAGAATGAGTAATGAATAACAACGCTGTAATCCCGAAGGGCTCAGTACAAAATAATCCTAAACATGAACTATTGGTAGGTACAGAAAGTATTACCTTCGCCGAGGACCTACTTGTATACGTCAAAGCGAATACAACCCGTGAACTGATGATGCTGGGAAACAAAGCGGTGGAAAAATTGGAATATGGCTCGAAAGAGACGATCTAATACTAGCAGAACAAAAAACTGAAGCAATAGTCCTGAAAGGAACCAGAGATGAGGAGCTGGAAAAACAACCATAATACCTTCTTAAACAATCAAATATCCAGGCATTCTTTTTGATGAAAACCTAAGATTCACAGCACACACGGGAAGGATAGCAGCCGAATATAGGAGGACCGAGTAGTCAAAATAGGATTCTCGAAGTACCGATGGGGCAAGCTGCGCTAAAATACGAAGTCTTGAGAGACACTGAACAGTATCTAACGAAAACGCTTCATCAGAGCAGCTAGTAAATACAAGACCAACTTAGCGGTGGTTCTGCAAGTTATCACCGACGCGGTATCAATACATCTAGTGGAAGAAGAAAGATCAAGATTATTTAAGAAAACAAACGCCAAACCAATGCAAATCAGCTAGGGAGGGGAACGGAAAAATGATATTGGACAAAAAAGTTGATTAGAAATATCCTGAAGTGGGTAAAGTGTCACTATCGAACCACGTATTACTTCTTTAAGCAATTTGTAACTGGATATGATCTATTTCTAACTTATACGAAGGGGAGTAGGACAACTACAGAACACACAATATTCCACTGCCCCAGATTCACCAAAAACCAATATATTCATTCCCTAAACCTGAACGGACATGTTGATAACTAAAAATGAAGCTCTCGTCTTAAACCAACTACCAAAGAATTCAAAGCACAATATCGGATGTCATATTATAGCACATGAAGACATCTCCTTGCTCAGTTGACAGTTTGCTTTCCCCAAGCTTTTCCAAGTGAAACGAGACGTGAACATAAGTAAAGGGGTAACAAGAGTTCGAGCACAATCCTTATGTAAATTAACATGGGAAATCGCTAAGGTTCATTCTGCCAATTTTTGTCCATATCAAGGTTACTCGTCTTGACGTCACGTGTCATGACGTCACCAGCAACTGTTGCCAACCTAACCTAACTTAGTCCGAACTGATCCGATGCTGTTCTCGAACTGATCTGGAACTGATCCGGATCAGTTCGAGATCAGTTCGGGAACAGCACCGGGTTAGTTCGGGAACAGCACCTGGTTAGTTCGGGAACAGCACCGAGTCAGTTCCGGATCAGTTCGGGAACAGCACCGGATCAGTTCGGGCTAAGTTAGGTTAGGTTGGCAACGCCGTCTACATTGTAATGATTTTGATATTATGGATCAGCATATTACGATTTTCAATAGTGTCACATAGTTCTTGTATGTTTGAAGTAGATCATAACCCTACAGGATATTCCATCAATTTGTTAATATTTTGGATCAAGTAAAAAAGCTACGATTTAAAAGGTACATTGCGCTGAAATAGAAAATTCTCCCAATATTTGTAGCATTAAACCCGACATTTTCTTGTTTTGATCAACCTCTTTCAAAATCAAATCGATTTTTGATTTCTTTATGCCACGAGTTTGTGAATGATGGCTTTAGTCCAGATAATACGGGAACCATCAATTAAGAATCCCTTGAATATTATAACAAAACACATAACAAATTTGCCGTTTTTTTTTAATTATGGTTGTTCACTTTTACATCCTTTTGTTCTGAAACTTTTTAACATCTGAGAGAATCCTGCATAATCCTTAGAACGCACTAAAATTAAAACTAACGCAATGAACAATCCTATTGCAAAATTTTTCATAAAATTAACTTTTTGATAATGTGTCATACTAAAATTGTATTGGTTAGAGTGACGGAGGGAAGAGAAATTACATATGATAGTTGAGGAAATTGAAATTGAAATGAAAATCGTTCTAACAAAATTCTACTTTCCATCCTTAATTTTGACGCCCTTAGTAGCATATTAAAAAAGCCCATGTTTTGAGATATTCTTTAAAATATGGCATCGGCTACGACAACACTTTTGCGCATATTGCTTTGACCTAGTTGCACCCTTTTCTATTGACACATAGTCTACCAATCTAAAGTTTTATATTATTAATTAGATAAAATGCATCTTTTACTTTGTGTTGGTTAATTACTTATCCATTAAAGTAACATTTTTTTATTGATAGATACCGTTATAATATTATTCATCAAGACAGACAGTTGTTTACAACCTTCAAGAGGTTTATTGGTAAGCATTCTATGTAGATATTTAAATACTGTTATTTAGCAATATTTTTCCTGTCGTTATACGGCTAAACGGAAATGTGTTAGCTACAGTAGGTACCGTTTATTAATATTATTAATAATGCGAGGTTAAATTGAAAAGATTACCCGATTAATGAAGGAAACAGTATTTATATTGTTCTTTATGAAGATATATATATTTAAATGATGAA